ACATTTTTCTAAAGACAACCAGGATGTACATAGATATTTCAAAAATTTTCTTATTTCAATATTATACAACTACTGTAATTGCTTTCATTTTAGAACTCTTTTCAAGACTTTTGTCTTCTTCTGAAAGTTCTTCCACTACTTCGTTAGTTGCAACCCCTATTACCAAAGCTTCGCCTTTCCTCTGATTTTCTATTTCATCATAAGTCGTATACGTAGAATTAGAAGACAAAACAAAAATTGGTTTTACAAACTTTGATAAAATATCTTTAAACACATCATAAATCATTGATTGCAAAACATGAATTACTGCAATTCTGCTCTGAAGAACTGAGTTAAGAACATCAAATGATGGCAAAATTAATTGTACAAAAAAGCAAAAATCTTTGCTTAAGGTCTGAAGACAAAAACAAACATTCATCCCTCAAAAGAAAAACTTCCAGTAAATCAGAAAATGTTTCTTTTGTTGAGCTAATTTTTTCATTTTGATAGATATTTGTATCAGCTTTACGCTTTTTTCGTACTATTATTTTGAGAACTGTCAATTAAATTGCTCACTTGTGGAGAAATTATTTTTCTCAAACTTATTTTTAACAGTAGAAAGTAGTATATCCATCTCCATTTACTTTTAAGTATTTTTACAACTTTTAACAGATTCTAACTCTAGAAGTATTTACATTTACTTCTTTCAAAAAAGCATGAAATGAGATCCATCAGTTAAGGATCCTAGATAAACATTTGTTTAAAGATAGCGAGTGTGTACATATATGTTTCAAAAATTTTTTTATTTCAGTACTGTGTAGCTGTTGGAATTGTTTCAATTTCCCCTTCCTTTTAGAACTCCTTTCAGATAATAATAAGACATCAACAATATGTTCATTCACATATACTGGTAAAGAAGCTGCACATGTTCCAACGAGGGCTGCCATGATGGTTTGGCCCACTGGAGCTCATAGTGCACCACTTGGCCACCAGATACAGAGCACGATCTTGTGTGGGTAGAGAGAAGGTCTCGCAGTGTGAGGCAGATTCTCGTGGTGACAAAAATGTCTAGAACATCTGGGTGTGTTATTCTTGACTCACTTTTCATCACTTGAGAGTACTCGATCAAATATGGATGCATTGCGGTGCTGAGTAAGCAATGACAAATGGGCAGTGACACCCTGTTGCTTATTTGCATCGTACAGTGAAGGGAGTACCCACTTGCTCAATTTGTATGCCTTTCCTATGCAGTGCAAATGAAATCTGATCCTTTCATCAGATACCTGGACAGGGTTCGTAGCAGTCCTTACAAGTGCTTATAAGTCTATATTTGAAGATAAAAAATAAAAGCCCTTATAGGTGCTTACTTTTTCTCTGAAGCACTTATTTTTTGTTTTTAGTGCTTTTTTTTTTTTTTTTTTTTTTTAACGAACACACATTTTTCCCCTGTACCAAAGCTGAAACTAAATAAACAACTTTTCTTCCTTATATGGATCGTCAGATGGTGAATCATACTCCCAGAAATCGCTTTTCGCCCCTTTCTCTGCATAACAAAACCTTTGTGCACAAGTACAGACAGGTGCACGTTGTTCTATTGGTTAAAAAATTGGGAAAGCAGTAGAAATTCCGGTAAATTCTGTATTCTTTTGCTCCCACCCAATACTACACATGTTTGAATTTCTATCAAGATTTTAATAATTTACATTCTCGTTCCACGTGGTCAGATAATATTTGCATTTATTATGATCGGTATGTATATGTATGAATATTTATAATATATTTACAGTAATGCTGAAGTATAGATAAACTTCAAAAATGGGTGTGTTTTAACACAGATTAGTTTTCTAAGGATTAATATTCAGAATGGCATAAATAAAGTAAAAGTAATCAAATAGTCAAAATAGTTTTTTTTTTTTTTTTTTTTTCCCAATGCATTAAACAGTACGCAAGTTGGGTGTTCTCCCATTTCTCCACAAAATCTTGAATATTGAAACCGTTACAGTTCGCAGCAAAGCAAGCAACAGACTTTTTTTTTTTTTTTTTTTGGTCACTTTCCAACCTGGATTTAATAGGACTAAAATTTCTGCGGTCTACCAGTCCAAGCAAAGAATGATTCTATTCCGAAAATTTAATGCAGCCTGTTCAAAATTAGAATGAAAAACACCTCATATTAGTAAATCTCTTTATTAATCAATATGAGTGTAGTATGGATATTGCGCGGAACGGCGACGTGTCATGCTCAATGATAAATATGCCACATGGGCGCATGACGGTCCGAATAACGGCAGCTGTTGATTCTGATTGTGTAATAACATGTGCGGAAGAATTAAGGCTCACGCATTGCGCAATAATGTTTGCCATATTTCGCAGATATAAAACAGTTTTACTGTGCTTGCTAAGCGGATTATTTTTCAGTTCCATTGGACTACTTTTTATACAATTCACATAGCGAAATGTCAAAAGCATTATTTAGCTGAAAAATCTAAAAAACGGCTTTAATCTACTCCCCTTTCCTCTTTTACCAGTTTCGCTCGACTATTCAGAATTTTCAGATATTCGGCAATTTCCGAGTATGCCGGTTAGTTAAGCTTTCTTTTAAAGAATGACTGCATGAAGCAATTTTACGCCTACTGATTTCAGAAAAGTTTCTTTTTTTTACTTAAATTATTTTGCATGCAATATCTGTTAAGGGAAAACTGTTATACAATGAAAATTTAGAAAATGTTCAAAATTTTGATTTAAATTATTTAAATATTAATAGGATTGCAAAAATAAATTGTATTTATTTTTAGGTGCCAAGCTAATATAATAAATAAGGCTTATTATTATTCATTTTCTCTATTTTGAACTTAAATTCCATCATTAAATCTTGTAATATAATTTAGTTCTGGATAGTTTTTTCCCCCTCTCATTGTAAACTAGTTCTGTAAATTGAACTGTTATTCAAAATTTAAAATAATAATAATGTAATCATTTTCCATAGTTGAGTAATTCTCATTTTCTCATAATAAATATTGAATTTCTCATATTTTAAATTACAAGTCTAATTTTTCTTTCAAGGTTATGCAGTTGTGTATATGCAATTAGACAGGTGCTTATTTTTTTTTTTCTTAAAATGTGCTTGAAAAGTGCTTATTTTTTTAACTAAAATGTGGCTACGAACCCTGCTGGAAGTGTCCAGCTAGCTCACCACGTTTGGCTACTGTCACTCTCTGTGGCTCCTCTCAGGCCTCATTGTCCGTGGCCGACCCGTGTGGTGCATCACTAAGAGACATATGCCCTGACCTGAACTTCTGGAATCGTCGCTTAGCAGCTTGTTCTTTGACAACATCATTCCAAAGGCCTGACAAATTCAGCGACTTGATTCTGCTGTTGACAGGCCCAATTTAAAATCATACAGCAAACTCCGAACGAATGACTTTGTCACATCCATTTTAATCAGTCGCTGTGTGAGTTATGTTTGAAGTACCGATGCAATGCGCTTTTATACTCTTGGTCAATGTCCGGACTCCCATCCTAATCACTTATCGACAGGTTTTGCGTTTATGTTGGAGTTCGTTCTTCCAATGTCATATCAGAAAAACCAAGAATTTTTTTGGGTTAAATTGTATATTCATGCAAATACACACACTGGCTAATGAATTAGAAACTTCTGAGATTTGCATTGGAATGCGTGCTAGGTATGAAATATGCAAATTTTTTTTATGATGTGAGTTACACATAATTAGAATGCTAGTATAAGTAAGCTGTAAAAGTGTTTTTCATGATTAATAAAGTAAAATGAGAAAACACAGGATCTTTCAACATTTGAAAAAGAGATTGCTGTTGGTGACCGTTTAGCAGGGACCCCGATTTCGAAGACAGGAAATCTCGCTGCGTAAGCAAAAGCAGCCATATCGAAGGTTTTCAAAAGTTAGAATGAGAACTCTCAGTTCTTCTCTCGAAGACGTAACTGTGATTCAAGCATAGTTCTTCCAAGAGAGCGACACGGCATCTCTAAAAAATTCTACAGCAGAACAAGGATTCTACCGTGCTTTAACTGACACAGATTGTCAGTCAAGTCTCTTTCCAACGGATTTCAGCTCAAACCATACACAGAGAATTGCAGAGGATAAGAATGCATACCACATAGTCAGGTGTTTGTGAGAAAAACCACTCATTTCTGCCTCAAATGCAAGAATTTGTTAGCAGTGGTGTCAGAAAAAAAGACATTGGACATCTGAGGATTGGAAACAGTAATGTGGTCGGATGAATTACACTATACCTTATTTTGGACTGATGGAAGATGACGAATTTAGCGAGAGCCCCATGAAGCCATGAATCCATCTGGCCTCACTCGCTCTGTGCAAGGGTCTGGTAGAAGTATTATGATATGGGGCATGTTCGCTCGCATGGAAATTTTGCCCTTGTGTTCCTCAAAGGTAAACAGTAGCCATGCGAGTAAACACATGAGTAGCCATGTGATACCTAGATCTACTGGTAGATCAAGTGCACCCTGCAATGTTACATTTTTACATGATGGCAATGGATACATCATGGATCATAATGCAGCTATGCATTGCGCCAGAAGTGTTAAAAATTGGTTCACAGAACATCAGCCTGACTTCCAACATCTTCCCTGGCCACCACATAGCCCAGATCTTAACCCCATAGAAAATGTGTGGGGTATGGTGATGCATCCGACAGTACTCTACTCTTCCATCAAATTTACAAGATCTAAAAAGCTGCGTAGGTAATGCATGATATTCTCTGGATGTTCCAGAAGCATGTAGATTCAATGCCCAAATGAATAAGAGCAGTTATCCTCGCAAAAAGTGGTCAAATAAAATATTGATCTCGGGTTTCTGATTCATTGGCATGGTGGTTGGTTTCCGATTCATTGGTGTGTATAATATGTATAAAAATTTCAATTACCATATCAGGCATTTTATATAATGTATCTGTGCAAGAAATTAAACAGTCTATATTTTTAACAGGAACTAAGCTCAAGTAAGACAGAAAAGCACAGAGAAAATCTCAAATTCAGAGAATAACTGAACTATTTTATTGGTACCAAGAGCTTACAAAGTTCAACATTAAGTAAACTCAGAATAATAAAATATGTAGATTTTGACAGCAAAAGATAAATAAAAACATTTACAGATCAACAAAATATAAGTGATAAGTTCTGGTCAAATTGCTTTTTCAATGAGTATAAAATGCTATGAACAGTGAAATTAAAAGCAACAAATTACTCTTATCGCAGAGAGAAAATAAATTTAATTTTTAAAGAACAGTAATCTTAAAGTTTTAAATAGATCAAAATAATAATCTGTAGTTTCAAATTAAATTTTCAACTGTGTGTAATAAATAATTTGATTTTTTTAAAACAAATCAAATAAACCACAAAATATAGATTAGATCTACATACATAGAGAATGCTACATTTTTGCAACTATTACTTTTTTTAAACAATACGGGAATAAACTAGATTTTTTATATACACTTTAAGAATTTCTTGGGGGAATGGGAGACTGTTTAAGCTGCAAAATAATTGAACGCATCCGTGACGTATCTTTGGTGCTACGGGATGATTTGGGGTTAAAGTCACATAGACGTGCAATACGCTCCCATTCTTGGCCAGGAGATTCAGCATCTCTGTCAGCTACCCATTCCTTTTCAGCATTTCTACAAAATGAAAACAAAAATTATGACACTTTTAAAAATACAAGAAAGTTTATTATTCATAATGTTACTGGTCTCCATTGTTACTGAAAATATTTATTTATGGTGTTAATTTGATATTTTTTCATATATAGAGAGCACATGAGTAGATGGGTTTCATCAAACACAAAACAGTTTTTTTTATAACATCCCTATACAGTAATAAGTCCTGTAAATGAAATGTCTGGTTTTGTAAATTGTAAATAAAAAGTAATGTAGCTTTATTTGCAAAAATTGCAGATACACAAAATAATTTGTGTTTTGGATAACATTATAATATATATGTTTATAAAGAAGCAGCTCATTTTGGTGATCAGCATTTGTTCATTTTTACAGCTGGCCGTGATACACTATTAACTACAAACATCCCCAAAAATTTTGCACATAACTGTATGAAATTTTATGAAAACAAATCTAACACTTTATTTAGTGGATTTTTCATTCTACAAGGACAATTAAAAAAAAACTGAAAGAGTTTAGATTTTAATCATCACCCAAAAAGAAATTGTTAAGATTTTTTATGCCCTCACTGAGTTTGCAGTCCTACTAGTCCACTATGGCACTCACTCCTGCTAGCTTTACTATTAGGCCATATTCTATTCAACAGCAAAATTAAAAAAATTTTAAAAGCAGCATAGAAGCACGTATTTAGCATTCCCAATGTAGTGTTAAGTGTTGGTATATGTTTTTCTACCGTTTTCAGTCTTTTCTTTTTTTCATCATATCAATGTTCAGTTTTTTTAGTAACAGCACTTACAAAACATTTTTTGTTAGTTATCACATTCTTCAAACTTGCGTCACATGAACTTCAATTCAACAGCAAAATATTTAAAAACAGCCTATCTTTCGAATTTTCGACAGACAGTCACGCATGATGGAGATAAAAATATTTTAATCTATACAATGTTGCCACTGGTCGCTTTCGAATCGCTCATTTTGTTAATAAAAAGTCCACTAAATTTTACAAATTATAAAATAAAATTTGAAATTTAAAACTCAGGCTTCCAGATAGATGCCCATGTTTGAGTTTACAACATTATTCCAATTTTAATAGCTCTAGGTATCGAGGAACAATCATACACACATGCAAATTCTTTATTATTTAATTTCTTTAAAGATAATATAGGGTGATAGTATATGGTGGCAACAATGCGAAAAGTGATTCAGTGAATTATAGTGGATGTCAAATGAGCCTAACAGACATTTGAGCCTAACAGCTCATTCGGACTGATGCCCTTTCAGGCTAAAAATTCATTATTTATACAGCCCTCCTATCCCAGATCTGAAACTGCTTTCTTTTTCTGCCATTGTTTGAGGAACTTATAATATTACAGGATATAAGTCCTTTAGTTATATATATATTATATATATATATATTAAAAAAATTACAAACACAGTGGTTCTAAAAACATTTTCCCTGAGTGAAACAAATGACAACAAAATGTACCTAAGTTCCTCTCAAGTATTGCAATTTACAGTAGTCCAGGACCCTCTCCTCCCAAAAAAATTCCCTTCATGTTTTCCTCATTCGCTTTTACTTCTATCATGGAAACATTTCAGTTCTAGCTGCCACTCTGTAATCAATGTCATAATGAATTTTTACAGTTCATTACTGTTATTAATAACTATACTACTAGTGGTGACAGATTATTAAGAAATTTAAAATTACTCAATATTATTTTCTCTACAACATGCATGACTAATGTTATCCAAAAATCACACAAAATTGGAAAAATGACACCATGAGAAACACAACTGCATAATTTTATGACAAAATATTTTTTAAACTCCAAAATATAATTTCAACATCTTATGACAAAACAGCATTCTTGCAGAACACTTTGCTGTATGAAGAATTACTGACAGTAGTATTGCATGATATTTACAGAATGCCATTTAAAAATATATAATGTATAATACAGAAACAAATGTTGATGCTTTCTGTGCTCTAGCTTTCTGTGAAATGTTTAATCTGCATCAAATACCTTAAGTAACAACTTAATTACCAACTGTCGGTAATTTTTTTTTTAGAAAATTAAAATATTAAGCCCACATTTTAAAACTATACAAACATCTTATCAATTTTTGATTTTATCAATAAAAAAGAAATCTGCATAGCATATATTGGAACTTTCTAACATTTGAATGCATTATAACAATTTTGCAAAATAAATTTTTGCGGTAAACTGAAATACCTCAAACTGTATATTCAAATTTTTATTTCAAGTAACCCAAAGACTAAGTACAGAAATAAAATATAAGGTTGGTTCAAATTTTACTACCACTTAAATTCTGTATAGATGACATTGGTCTAGAAAATACTCTTATTACCATTTCCTTCAATGTTACATCAAAAGTGTCATGAAAAATTAAGTTAGAAAAAACTCTCTTAAAGTTACATGACTTCAAATCAGAACAGGAAATGCTGTATGTACCATTTAAACACTAATGTGATGATTACCTGGCTTAATTCTCAAATGAATCAAAGTACTCCAACCTGTTCTCTGATACAAAAACCTAGACTATTTTTTTTATAAAATTATTTGGGGGGAGACATACATTATGCAAAAATTTTACTTTAAGCATTTTAAAAAATGAAATTTTCCTACTGTTGCATATTCATAGAACTATTTCTTATTTTTTCATTTTGGATAACACATTCATTCTTAATCTGCATGGAATTTAATTATACATAGCTTTAAATTTTGTCCACAAAGAAGTGAAACTTCTTATTTTTAACTTGTCACAGTACAAGGATAAAGTAAATACAATGTACTCTGATGGAAGTACAAGTCTAGAATTCAATATTTAATAATATAAAGTCTGCAGTTTCTTTTTTATGACATGCATATTAATTTCCCCCATAAAAAAATCAAGATGTTCACTTTCAGTTTTTTATTTCTATTAAATGCAATTATTTTCAGAATCCCCCCAATCAACATAACATACAAACCCTCCCTGTATACATTTCTACTTTTTAATTATAAGAATCAAAATATAAAAATCTTATCTTACAAAGCTACAAAATATAAAATACTTTAAAATATATAATACCTCAATTATAACTCTCAGTATATAGTTTAATATCTTATTTGCTAACACAAAACGGGAAAAAACTCAAGTTTACTTACTTATGTTACACACATATACACTGCTCGACATTGAAAATGCAACACCAAGGAGTGATCAGAAAGTGATGAAATTTGGAAAAAAGACAGACCACCGCGGACAGCGATGCACGAAGAAACACGACTAGGCATAGAGTCAATAAGAGTGCAGATGGTGTCTTGAGGGATCGCTCTCCATTCCCTTTCAACCATTTGCCACAGTTTGTCTTCTGAACGAGGCAGGGGCAGAGTCTGCAAACGGCATCCAATCGCATCATACACATGTTCGATTGATGACAGGTCAGGAGAGTACGGTGGCCAGGGAAGCATCTGTATACCTTGCAGAGCATGTTGGCAGATGCGAGCACTGTGTGGTCGGGCGTTATTGTGCTGAAAAATTGCATTAGGCAGCACCTGAAGGTAGAGGATTGCCACCGGCCGCAGTACATTCTCCAAGCATCTCTGGGGCGTCATAGTGCCCTGAATATGAACTAGAGGTAACCTGGAATCATAGGCAATAACGTGCTGACGTCACTGGCTGCACCTGCACCCCTCCTTCTTCCCACATTTCCTTGTTCCAAACATGTTCGCCATAGCCGATGCACCGTGCTCGCATCCATGTGGGTATCAGCTGCGATTTGACGTAAGGACCAACCCGACCTTCTCAGTCCGATCACCATACCCCTGGTAAAATTGTCTATCTGCTGGAAGTGCCTTCGTTGACAGCAGCCTGGCATTCTCTCCTATTACACGCACCCTCCGGGACAAAAACCAACTTTCTTCAATAATTCCTCTGGCAGAAATTAACGACACGATATTGCCCATTTGCATTCCGTTCCTTCCCTTATATCTACCACTCGTCGTTGACCACTCCTTCTTGGTGTTGCATTTTCAATGTCGAGCAGTGTATATAGAAAAAGGTCTGTATATAAGACTAATCTAGCAAATGAGTAATTACTTCTAAAACACTGATTACAAGCACAGGCAAAAAAATTAGCTTATGAATTTGAATTGACATAAATTATGCATTAAATGCTTTCTGAAAATCATGACAACCTTACAAGCAAAAAAATGACAAAGTGCAGCAAGTTTTGCATGAGAAAATATCACTTACTTGGATTCCTCCCTGAAAGTTAGCATAGTGAGAAAAGCGTAAGGAATGCAAGTTTTAAACAAAAGCTATAACAGCAATAGTAGAACAGCAACAAGTTTACAAACACTAAGAACACAAAAAATTACAAAATAAGGAACATCAGCCCAAAATACCCACTATAAAAATGAAATTATATTGCCCAATTTAGTTTAAATATTAAAAAAGCATAATAAAACAGGCAGTAACAAAAAATAAAAACAAATGTATAAAGCACGAAAACAAGGGGGGGAAGCAATAAAATTTACATCAAAGTATATAATTTTCATTTAATATGGCATAGGTAAGTGCAATAAAAAGTTTAGAAAAATACCATTTGAATTTAATTTATAATTATTATACACATATATCACACAACAAATTTCCCCCATCTTACTTTCTCTGCACGCATATAAATGATTTGAATTTTACATTTACATTACACAGAACAAAGATATCATGCTATAAAAGATATATGTGTAACTATATTTCGTATGTCAAATTTCTTCTCCCCACCCCAATAATTATATTGATTTATAAAAAATGTGGAAGGTAAATACTTGCAAATTTAAAGATGCATAGAAATATAAACACACGTTGCTGTAAAACATTTCAGAAGAAAGAGATCACATTTGTGCCCAATATTAGAACTTCAAATAAATTTATACATGAAGTTCACAAAAATCAGATGAAAATTATCTGCTAATTGTACATATAAAATAATTAGCAAGTTTTTGACAGCTCTGAATCAGCTTTATTTGAGAAGATATTACTTAAAAATGAGCAATTTATCTGCTAAAATAGATAAATTCTGTATCTTTTTAGTAAATGGAAGTTATTACTTATGGAATTTTCCTTTGCAAGGGACTGCTCTTCAATAAAAATGAAACTTAAGAACTAAGAAAGAAGATAACTCAAGAGCAAATTTTAAAAAATCAGTCAACAGAACAATGAACAGAAAAGAAATAAAAAAATTCAAACATCTAGTGATTTCTAACACAAAACCATCAGTTAGATAAAATGCTGATACATTAATCATCTCTGGGAAATTTTAAGAATTCTAAATGAAATAAGATACATGCAATAACAGATGATGAAAATGAGAAAAAGATTACTCTTAAGACATTCTAAGAATCTATTCCTGACTTTAAAATAATTTTGAAAGTTTGTCACTATGGGTCTTAACCTGATAATCATTGATTCAATTGCATAACAAGAATCAACTATGTAAGTGCAAATTTTACTGCAAGCTTACTATAAAATTCTAATACAAATTTATACACATAATTTTAAACTGGCCAATTAAGCTTTTATACAATTTTCAGAGCAATATAAAAATACATTTAAACAATTAATTCAATAATAGTGCAGAGCAATAAGAAAAATAAGTCATTAATTTGATATTTTAATGGTCATGCTTCCTAACTTAGTTATTTAATATAAAAAATAAACCCTTTTTTGAACAAATGTTGCAACATATATAGAATTTTTGAAATAATTCAATACTTATAACTGATTATATTTACCTTCAAGATATTCATGCATAAAACAGAACACATTAGTTGATAAATATGTACTTATTTCTCAATACAATCTATTATACCAACCTATAAATTATTACATGTATGGAATTTAATGGTGCACTGTTTAATTCTTGAATATTTCTACCTGAAATTGATTTTAAAAGAATACTTTCCCTATATTGCTCACAAAATTAATCAAAACTAAAGTAAAAGATCTTTCAACTTCTTTATATTACTAAAAATTAATCACGACTATAACAAAGTGCAAAAAAACTAATTGTAGCTTTAGTATCCTAAAAGAATTTATTGCATAAAACTTACTATTGTATTTATTGCACATTACAATTGTATTTATTATCTACACAACTTGTTTTTTTTTAAATGATAATCAAAGTACAATTAAAAAATAACATGTAATTTTATTCTTTTGAATGAGAAATAAATTCTGGAATACTTAAAAATAAAACAAAGAATAAGTTCAATACATGGGAAAATATATTTTTAACATACTAAATGCATCCAGTACAGATAAATAAAAATATTAAACAATAAAATGACAAATTTAAAATGAACTGATAACTTCTTCTTGTGTTAAGAATTGTTTTTACCTATTATTCAATTTAGCTTTCTCAATTTGTTCTCTGTAACGTGCATACCAATCATCCAATTCCTTTTTTGCTGTTTGTTGCAATTCTAGCTTTTTCTTTTCTTCTTCTGCATCTACAACACATTATAAAATTTAAGATATGGCATTATATAGTTGTTTTTATTAAGGTAAGATATTTGTATAGTTTTAAAAGTCATTTCTTTTTCTAATATGAAAATAAAATATTCTAAATAGTGGAATATTTCCTCTGCTTTTAAAATTTAAATACCAACACACACCTTTAAATGAAACATTAATCCAATTGTAAGAGGATGTTTAAGTTTACTTGCAATGAAAGATTCCAATTCAAACCTGAAAATTAAAGTAAACTTGTATGCATGTAGTGTAAGCATGTAAGCCAAACAAAAAAAAAACTGACTTACCAAATTAACATTTGCTAGGTTTTCTCAGGGTGTAAAGAAGAGACAAAGCTAAGGTAAATTTTAAAACCCAGTTACATTACAGTAGTGGCATCTTAATATGACAGCAGTCAATATTATCTTTCTGATATACTGATCAAACTGCCAAAGTCCTCTCTTTTTGCATATGAAAACATAGAAAATAATCAATTGTTGTGATCAACATGTCAGTTAATATGATCAAAATATTAAAAAATAATTTTTTTAAACTGAAGTAAAATCTTCATATAGGGTCAAAATAAAACATAGAAATTGTCAAGTGACCAAGAAATGTTGCCAAGCAGCTTAGTTTTGATTTAATTGAAATCTATATAAAAGAATCCATTTTCGAAGTTTTATGAAGATTGACTGGACTAACCAGTTTTAGAAAACTGGAATTCTAGATCACCTTGTTTTTGTGTGCTACAAAAGTGTCTTTGCTGAATTCGAGCTTTACATTTCATGAAATTTTTGTTAGTGCTAAATTTTTATTATTGTCCAGCAACTCTGTTATTTTCATCAATGGTAATCTTTTCTGAAGATTTTAAAATTCTGCAAACTAGTCACAGGGGTAATGATCTAAGTTTAAAGCTTACAAGTATTCATTAAGACCACCATAACCAATTCTAAAAAATGAATAAGTGGAACTGCTCAGAAAAAAATTCTCAACCTCTTTTCATGGAAGATTTTAAAGAATCGTGCAGATATTGTTTACAGATCAAAGCCAATGTAAGATGTATCACTATGTTGAAAATGCACTTACAAATAATCATATAGCTGTGAAACTTGCAAATATCGTGAAACAGATGGCAGTAAATGGTCCATTGATGCTGAATAACAGTGAAGAATTAGCTGTAAAAAATGGGGAAAAGATTACTTTGTAATATGAGATGGCTGATTTAGATGAAGGGAAACTTTTCCTTAAAAACACATTAGTGGTGAAGAAAAAGATGTTGATTTACCTGCTGCAAGAATGTGCTCATCAAATGAATGGCTTAAAACTATCCAAAAAAACATTTGTAATGTAGATAAGATATATCTATACTACTGTGCATTGACCCAATATTTGTTTAATCTTCCAGCACGCGCGTTTGCGCTAAATTTAAGACAAATTCAGTTTTTAATGCACATTTTTTGCATATCGAAGCTGAGATGTCCGAATGTCTTTTCTATTCCTCCTTCCTACCCTTTCCCACATGATGGAATATGCCAAAAGGAAGTCATTTGACTCTTTTTTTAACTCGGCTTTTATACTACGTGGCAGCTTTTTCATAAAATTTACGACACGCGCATGGTCGTGTTTTAAAATTCAGAAAATATTTTATTCCTCAAATATTTTGTAATTTTGTGTTATTAACTGCCATGTATTATTTTAATTTGAATACATTTGGCTCTGTAAATTTTATATCGGTTTTCATGGCAAAAAAAAATATGTGCAACTAGCTGATTTTCCTCGGATTCTTCAAGAATTATTTGATGAAGATAAGGAAGACAAGGAAACCTTTGGATGAGAGAACAATAGTGATTTCCATTCCTTATTTTCTTTTATTTCTATTTTTTAGAAATAAATAAAAACATTAAAGTTAGTTTAAAGTGTGCTTTTGTAACGAGTAAGAAGTAAATTTCCTTCCAGAAATAAGTAACGCTAAACTTACTTTTTTCCTACCAAGGTGTTTTCCTTTTTTATTGTCTATACTTGTCTTTGATGAATATTAAAATTAGCTTCAATTTTAAAATATAATTATTAAGTGACAAATTTAATATTTTCTATAATGAAATACATCACTGCATTTCCATCTCACCAACATAAGAACTTAAAAATAATTTACTTATATTTGAATGTGATATCATTTGTATTTTGCAATAATAAGATTAGTATTTTATTGCTTAACAAATTTATTATCAATATTCACTCATTTCTGTTGTTTTTCATGCCAAAAATGGTAAAATGTCGCAAAAAATACGATGCGCGCTGATGTAAAATTTCCAAGCGCATGTGCTGGAAGGTTAAAACTGAAAGCTCTCAAAAGGTTTAACCCTTTGACTACTAATGGGACACATATGTCCCACTAAAAGTTTAAAAATTACTGCTGGGTTAAAAGTACTTCAAAATTCACTGTAACACATCCCAGTCATAGAATCAAACCATTTGCACATGTTTCATCTTTTGTTACCAGTTGGCATCAAATATGTTCCCGTCAAATGCCATTAACACTTTTTTAAAAATTTGTAGTCAAAGGGTTAAAATATCAAAACTGTTTTAAGCTGTGTCAATATGTGTGATTAAAAAAATTATGAACTAATTGGAAAAAGAAAAACATCCAATGCTTTAAAGGAGTAAAATAAAAATAGTACCAGTTGACTATAAGTAAATTTAAAAAACATGGGGATGTCAGGGATTTTTAATAAATGGTTTTTGAAATGAGATAAAAAACTGAATGATATCCTTCTTACTGACAACTGCACAGTGCATAATGTAAATATCTTAAGCATACTGCATTTTTACATTTACCAGCAAATACCACAGCCCTAACAAGGGATTATTAGATCGATAAGAAAGCATATTACTGATGTCAGACCTTTGTAACATGAATGATATGGATATAAGGGAAAATAAATTAAAAAGGAAAATAACCCTTCTATATTTGGTGAATTTGCTAAATACATCTTAGAAACCATGGACTCAGGAAAAACAATAGAAAGCTCTTTTAAGCATGTCAACATTTTAATAAATGATAAAATAGACAAACTAAAACAACACCTCCAACTAACATAAACTGAGGAACTTAACGCTCTGGTGGATATTAATGAAAAAATTCCAAGTTGTAACATTGAAGGCAGAAGGTATTTTGCCGGTCGCTTTCTGAAACAAATCTAAGCACATCATGGACAAACTTTTTGAGGATGATGAAATCAGTAAATTAGCTACAAATGCTAATACAAAGAATGACTTTTAAACATTAATATTAGAGTTTATAGCATCAGTCTAATAGTTTCAAGAAACAATATGAATATAAATAGTTCATAAATAAACTTTTCCACAACAACTGCAAACAATCCACTATTGATAACTTTTTCTAATTAAAATGTTGTGAAAGGTATGCATTTATATGCATCTAGTTACTTTTATATAGTAAACTGATTAAATTATATTATTTTAAAGACTATTTTTTCATTGTTTAATGTAATTAAAATAACCATAAATAAATATGATCATATTAAGCGGTGCCTACTGTACTAGTTTCCAAGATAATACCAGACCTAACAATAAATTCTGAACACAAGCTGTTGCTTACTTGAAATAGATTCTCCAGCAGTCTTATCCAATACATAAAATCAATATTGCACAATCTATCCATATGGAAAAATATAAAATATCCATCTCCCTTCCTACAATAATATAGTAGCTTTTCCATCATTCAGTAGAAAAATAATATTCTGAAAATATTATACTTTTATTTCCCTTACTGCCTATAAACATGTTTTATATACAGCTGTAAAGTAGTTTATATTGCAGTTTTGCCAAGTTAACATATGTTTTAAAACTTATTATTTGTTTTCAGTAGTTATTAGCAATTGTCTGTTTAGTTGTTTTTTAGCAACTATTAAATAAATATAACACTTTTTAACATCAAATTTTAAAATGTTTTAGTTCATTGTATTTAACTCTAATTTATTTTGGGTAAAAAATAATAACATTCCTGTGTTTTTAAATACTAATATCTAATTGTGTAATGCCTAGACAACTTTTGTACAATGGTATTAAATGTATTGTGTGAAACTAAACAAATGAACAATTAAAACTTTTTTTAATGATTTTGCTGTAAAAGTTTATTTTTCAGAAACAAGATGATCGGAATGTTATCCTTTTTCCAATCCCCCATTGATATATTCAGTGTAAAGTCCAAGATTATCTAATATCCAGACTAGAACCTATTCCTTTTTTTTTTTTTTTTTTTCTTTTCTCTTTCAAAAGTTCTGGCAAAAAAGAAGAAAAATTAGATTTCAAAACTAACGTCTATGTTTAATGCTTCATTCACAAATAGCACTTTTTTTTTTCCATAGTATAGCATGCAAAAGGTCCTGATACTTCATTTCAGTTTTACATTGAATAAAACACTTCTATATTGAAAAAAAGCAAGCATTAATTAGCTTAAATCTACGCACCTACTAAATAACATATCCCTGAAGCCAACCTGGCAATCTATTATTATTATTTTTGGCTTTCATCACCATGTGACTATCAGGCATGAAAAATGACTCATAGAAATATCTAAAATATTTATGCTTTTTAATATTAGTAACTGAATACCAAACACCATGGTACCTTTTATGTTGACATAAAGCTTGGTGATGATTACAAACTTCAGCCAACTGTACTGCAAAGCACTCAGTGTGCTAAGAAAAATTTAATTGAAAATTTTTTCTATATACAAAAATAAGATTTTGTAAAAATTATATTTACAGCAGTTAGAATTAAGAATAACTGATTTGTTATATAGATAAGACAAATCTGTCATTTAGGTGAGCCTTAAGTATATGCAGGAATTTATTAAAGACTTGGATATGGCTTGTGTTTTTAATAGCTAATCTTGTAACACATAAATAGTGCACAGCGGATGTTATTTAAGTATTAAAATCGACTAAACACTTTTTGCCATCACTAATATGGTTCTAAGTGGAGAAAATATCCCTACTTAATGACGAAGAAAGTGACAATTCTCAACTTGCCAATTAAACTTGAAAAATTGAACTTTGTAACTGATAAAGAAACTAAGTGAACTAACCTGAACATCTTACATTGAAAAAAATGTTTAGCAGAACAAAAAATACTGAATTTTTTAATACAATTTTGATTTCCTTGTGATCATAAATGCTTCATAGTTTTAACCAACAATTCCACATTGTAATTTTATAATTTTTACATGCTACCTTATTAGATTTCAACTAATGATTTTAACTCCATAAAATTCCAAAAATCTAGAATCACCAAAGTTCCGATATGTTTGGATCTCGGACTTTGCACTGTACATGTAATAATCTCGAATAGTTGGATGTAATTATTTAGAAATGTTTTAATGGCATACGGAAGAAGCAGCATATGGGGCCAGCTTTTAATATTACTTTTTATCCTAGCTGACACACATTTCATTGAGTATACTCCAACTGCGCGAATGAAAATCCCCCCCCTCGTCTTGATATAGTGCAACTGCACTAATCAAAATTTCTCCCCCCCCCGGTTGCCTACAGGGTTGCAATTTTACTTTTCGAAGCCAAGAGGAAAATAAAAATAAAGAAAGAGAATGACATATCACAATAACACTAAAGAATATTTAACAAGCAGGCTAATTACTTGAGCAATGGTAATAAATGCGAGAGCTAACAAAGAAAATAAAAGGTATTGCTAAACATAACATATTAGCATTACAAACATCTTTCATTAATTACAATAAAATCATGAATCAAATAATTGTAAAGCATACCAATTATATTTTTTATAAATTACATCAATAATAGTCAAGATGTCTGAACTAAAATGGAAAATTTAATATAGTTCACTGGCGTGCAAAAGATTATTCTGTATCAAAGTGTCTTAAAGTGTGCTAGAAATATTTTTTATTAATTAAAGTAATCATGTAAGTATTTACAGAAATTAATAGTTAAATTAAAAAAAAAAAGCTTAGCATGAAATCTATTATAACAACATTACTATGCATTTGGAACCCTGACGTATAAATTGTAAATAAATTTAAATTATTATGCTAAGAAGTTTTTTCTAAAATTTATCTAGAAGAAAAGAATTAGATAAACAGTTCTGCAAATTTATATAATCAATCAGGTCTCTCAATAAAAACTTTTTTTTAAAACCAAAATTGGGATGCAAAAGTTATACTTGGAAATATCTGAACATATAATTAATCAAAAAACAAAATTAATAACAAGCTAATTAACAGCAACATTAAGTTTAATTTCATTCAATCTAAAACAAGCAATCGATCAGGAGCTCCGCATAACTGAAGTTAAATTGCTATTTTACATAGATTTCCGTATAAAATAAATATCTGCACTTGTGAAACAAGTGAATAATATACTGATAGTGCACAGGAATTAAAATACAGTGGTTAAAAATATAACTACTTGTCAGAAGGTATGCAAAGTTACCATAGCTACAGAAATTGAATGATTACAGAAAACTCATTAAGTTAAGCACTGTGAAAAGAAACTTCTGGAATAAACATGTTAAAAAAATAGATGCAGAAATAATCCTTAATTTATTGATATATTTATAACTCTATGCTTTTGGAAAAAGGTTACATATAATTTGGACCAAGATATCAATCATCGAATCGGAGTTAATTTCTTTCCTTATTTTTTCTTATTGGAGGGATTTGTAAAAAGATATGCTAAGGCAAAGGTGAAAATTTTTGCAATATTTTTAAAGAATAAATTAAAATATTTTTGCTTCATGAACTGAAAGTTTTACAATATATTTTTAAACAGTAAATAGTACAAAAAAAGAAAGAGCTGAGGGATCTCTGGGATTAGAAACTTGGGTCAAACTGCCAATGTTTAGTGACTTTTCCAATTGATCATAAGACCTTTTGAAATTAGGCTGAACACTATATTAAAGATAATAGAAGATACAGCACACATAAGAACAAAAGTGGGCTGAATTAGAGATTTACATGTTTGGTGAATGAGTTCAACTTATCTGTATGCCATTATGAAATATTAGGAACGTAGCATAAAAGCATCAGTGAAGAAGGTAATGGCAATCTAAATCCTTGTAATCTAAGGCTGCGTTCAGACGGCGGCGTAAAGGACATACAGGTGTAGTCATAAGGGCATAAAATACGGGAATTCTATTAACACTTGCGAGAATGGGGTGTAAGCCGTAGCCAATGAGAGAAGCTAAATTTGCACATAAGGGGATGTGTCTACAACTTTCCCGCACTGTTCTCCTGCTCGATCGATTTCCCGCGTTTGGTCTGCTTGTTTTGTAAGAGCGAAATCTTCTGTAAAAAGCCGCTTCATTTTAGCTTTGCTCCGATTGGCCGACGCTTATCCCAAACTCTGCGTAAAGTTGAAAACTTTGAACCCTATACCACAAGCTCTAAATCAGATTTTGTGACGTAGCACAGACTGGTTGCCTTGGCAATGGAGCTTGGCTTTAACCACTTATGCCCTTTACACCCCCGTCTGAACAAAGCTTTAATGTATAAAATTATCAATATCTGCTATTAATTTCAATATTGCTGAAAATATTAGAAATGAATTCTATTATAAATCACATGAATGTGTTGCATTATAAATTACAACAATTAGAAATATTATTAGCATGATTTAGTGACCATCTTTGTAAACAAATAATTTCAAATAATTAATTTTACAAAAATTAGTCTGATATTAAGTTGGAAAATAAGCTGCATACTGAAGATTAAGCTTTACCAAGGTGTTGGAAATATCTTCTGTTAACTAGAGTTATGATGCAATAATTTGTAAAATTATCATTTAAATATAGATTGGCATAAATACAATACAAATTATATACATTCTAGATACATGAATACTTGAATACAGTGCAACAATATGTGAAAAAGGAATGGATAAAAAGGGAACTGAAAATCCCCAGACATGAATATAAGCGAGTTCGATTTTTTTTGTTAATTAAGAAAATTTTGCAGACTCTCATAATTATCAATTTATTAATTAAATGTGTATTAGAAGTTAAATGTATGCCAAAGTACATCAGGTACAGTAACTGGAAAACAGAATAAATATTTACGTTTCTAGTATTAAAATATGGACTTTAAGAAAATAACCTTAAAATAACTTCAATGACTAAAAATGGCAAAAGCTTAATACGGCAATATTTTGCAATAATTAGTGTCATTTAGAACCATTAAGAAGAATCGAATTTTTAGATTTAATAAAGAGAATTGTTTAAATTAAATTAGAACTGTTTACCTAAAATGGTGAATTTGAAAGTTAAAACCATTCTGCTATCTAAGAAGATTTGTTAATATTTATCTAGATGAGAAATTTGTTCGAGGTGCGCTACAAATCTGATATTTGATAGCTTGATTATGTATCAGTTTTGTGTAGGTCATCAACGTATCAATTTAAATATTCAAAACTGGTGTATATACCAGCAACTAAAATCTACAACTTGGAAAGTTTTTAATTCTTACAGAGAATAAAAAGGATCTGGCTTATCATTCCTTTTAAGCATCACAGAACTTTAAAATGAGTGTAAAAGAAACTCTTTTTTACTTTAGCAGACACCAGACTTTAAACGAATATTCGTTTTGTATGCACAATTTTTTACAATATTGATAAAAGAAAATAGAGGCTTGCAGTATCACTAACTGAACCATTAATGGCAATAAATGACTTTTTGTAGCACCCAATCTTCTTGGGAATTCAAGTTCTTAGAAAGAGGGAACAGGAAAAAGTCATGCAGTTCATCTATTAGATAAGGGGGGGGGATCTTTGATCAAATTTCACACAGTTTGTACACTACCATTTCATTAAGCCAACACAAATAACTCTGTGAAATAAGCAAGACAATTCTAGAAATTTTACATTTTTGATACTGCTGTGGATGGAAAAGAGAAGTGGCAGCAGCCTAGCTCTAGGCTTATTTAGTGGTTGTTTTAATAATGAAGTATTCAAAAAAAAATTTTATTACCTTTTATTTCTAGCATTTTTTGTTGCTCTTCTCGCCACATTTTAATTTTCTGTGGTTCTTCACGATTTGCAGAACGTGATGGCGTAGTAGCAGGAAAAGGTTCACTAGGTCCATTCATATGCTAAAAATTTTAATATATAATAAAAAGGAAACAAAATCTGAGATAAATTTTGAATGACTAGAAAAATTACAGATGACTGAATTCATGCTTAGTTTATTTTCTAATTAAAAATCCAAAAAATTAACAGTTGGTAAATATTACTTCAATAACAGGAAAATATACAAAGCAACTCAAATTATATAAATACTCCTTAGCCTCCTAAATGTGAAGACAACACTGGTCCTCCTAAACTATGCACATAATGACATTTATGGTCTGAGATAAAAATAACCGGTCAGAATTATTCGAAATTTTATGCAAATACCTGCAATTGCATAGGTATTGTGCTTGGAGATAGAGAGTTAGAAAAGTGTATTAAAAGGCAGATATCACAAAAGATATAGAGCACAAATGTTTACGAGTGGCAAAAGAAATGTTCAGTGTGCTGTCTGTCCTTCACATTTTAATACAGGATGAACTCTTAAAATACATCCTCAGCAACAATGCAAAATGTTATTACAGTCAAAAGTCGTTAATTCGAACACCCATAATCCGGACCTCAAAGCTACAAACTTTCTGCGCATGCGTCGAAGAAAGTTTGTAGCTTAGGTGTTTACGCATGCGTGTAAGACCTTTACAGCTGCGAATATGCGTGTGCACATAATACGTTTACGCATGCACGTTTAATGTATAACGGACAATATAAGCCAAGCTAAAATTATCTAATTCAGTTAATGTTGCAGATTGCGTTGTTCCTTAATCTTCGAACTGGATCCGGCTTATTATTTTTTGCAGACTTTTAGAGCAAGTTTATAAAAGTAAGCTGGAACTTTCGATTATGTCAAATAGAATTTCCGATATATATTTACTAATATGTAAAGGATCTACAAAGTGAAAGTATGTTTTGAAGTACATTAAACAGAAAGTGGAATTGCTACAAAAAATGGATAAAGGCATATCCTTTGTTTATCTAAACTTTCACGTTTGTTTATCTAAACTTTGTTTATCTTTAACGCAGAGCAATGAATTGGAAGTTGATCTGTCAACACTATCCTTATCTTCAGGGCAGATGTTTTTATTTTATTTGGCTTATACTTCCTTACCAAGTGTAGTATTTCATCTCGATGTAATCTGTCTTTGATATGATTTAAATCAAGTTCCTCGTCATTATAATTTGCTTCTGATAGTGAAGAAAGTGACAGAGGTTATTGAAAACGAAAAAATTTCAATTGACAAATTAGTCTGTATTCTCGACACAGCAATTATAGGACTTGAACAGCGGAACTTTGTAACTAAACAAGAAATTATGTCTGTTTAATAGAATTAAAGAGAAAGTATTATCACATGAAAGGAAGCCCGACGAGTCCGGATTAACGACTTTTGACTGTATAGTGATATTCAGGATACAATGCACAATGCTAATTTTAATTCAGGTTATTTAAAAATTATCAATTAAAAAACATTCTTTGCACGTCTTGAATGGCAAAAATCACATAGGGTCAGATACAGTTAAAATACTGTTGTCACAGGAAAATGGAAAATGATAGCTGATTATTTTATTATTTCTAAAATTACTTGAAAGTAACCGCTTCACTGACACTGGAATGTGGGATATAGTCTAACACTGGATGAATATAGAAGGATGATGATACTGTTAAATTTTTTTAGATTTTTATCGATGGCCACCGACAGAACAGAAGAGAAAAGCTTTCAAAATGCCCAATTTTTTTTTTTTAAAAAAGAGAAAAATATGTACGGTTAAAATTAATATTACATTATGACCTGCACTTGTTTCCCTCAGTACATATACCAAAATTACACAACCTTTATGGAATAAAGAGGCATCTGCCATAGTGCCCATGAAGTTTCAATCACCAAGATCAGTATTCATGTTAATATGCAATTTTATACAGGATACATAGGAAAGCCAATTTAACCTGAAAATTCTTGCGAATGGAGAAAGCTACAGCTAACAGGGTTCGTACACATTTCTGCATACAGAAATTAAGAACCTTTTAAGGACCATTAATGAAAAAAATTAAAGACCTATGAGCAAATGGGAACCGAATAAATTTAATTAAAAATATTATTCTATGCCTGAATTTCACTTTTGTAATATCATCTTAAAAATAAAATAGATCCCCAAGTAGTATGCATTATTTCTAAACATGAATTAATGAACATAATTATGGTCAAAAGTCGTTAATTTGGACACCCATAATCCGGAATGATCTATAATCCGGACCTCAAAGCTACAAACTTTCTGCGCATGCGTTCCCATGATGCATGCGCATAGGCGTTTACAAGTGCGCGTAAGACCTTTACGGCTGCGAATATGGAAATGCGCACAATACGTTTACGCATGCGCATTTAATGTATAACGCACAGTATAAGCTAAGCTAAATTTATCTAATTCAGTTAATGTTGCAGATTGCGTTGTTCCTTAATCTTCGAACTGGATCCGGCTTATTATTTTTTGCAGACTGTTGGAGCAATTTTATAAAGGTACGCTGGAACTTTCGATTATATCAAATAGAATTCCCGATATATATTTACTAATATATAAAGGATCTACAAAGCGAAAGTATGTTTCGAAGTCCATTAAACAGAAAATGGAACTGCTGCAAAAAATGGATATAGGCATATCCTTTGATTATCTAATCATTCCGAAATATGTTTATCAATTTCACGCTGCTCTGCGGGGGGAGAGAAACGACGCGGCACGCAATGAATTGGAAGTTGATCTGTCAGCACTATCCTTATCTTCAGGGCAGATGTTTTTATTTTATTTGGCTTATAATTCCTCACTAAATGTAGTATTTCATCTCAATGTACTCTGTCTTTGATATGATTTAAATCAAGTTCGTCATTATAATTTGCTTCTGATAGTGAAGAAAGTGACAGAGAGGTTATTGAAAATGAAAAAATTTCAATTGACAAATTAGTCTGTATTCTCGACACAGCAATTATAGGACTTGAACAGCGGAACTTTGTAACTAAACAAGAAATTATGTCTGTTTAATAGAATTAAAGAGAAAGTATTATCACATGAAAGGAAGCAATTTAAACAACTTACATTGAAAGAAATATTTAATAAAGTAAACAAATAATTTTAATTTTATAATTTCTGCATGCCATCTTACCAGATTTAAACTGATGATCTATAATCCGGAAAAATCGATAATCCGGAATCGCCGAAGTCCCGACAAGTCCGGATTAACTTTTGACTGTATTAACAAGTTTGAAAATAAAATAAACTCCATGCAGTTTACCAAATAGAATTAAATATTTTACATTTATAATGGGTTGGACATATTTGAAAGAAGATACGTGACATTTAGGTTTTACTAATAGTTAGCTTTATGTTGATTTTTTTATGTCTCATTTTGTCACATACTTGGTCAGTCTAGAGGAAAGGTTCTCAACCGGTGGTACGCAAGAATAAAATAGGTGGTACACAAACAAGCAAAGTATTTTGAGCTATTTATTTCAAAAATTAAAATTCCAACATCCTGATTGAGTTTTTCCTCTAACACTCTTAAATTTATGCGACCTGAGCTTTGTTCAAGATTGGTGGTGGTAGCAGTACTTTGTAGTAGTGGTACTAAAGGTTTTCAATTTTTTTTTTTATATGGTACATGTTAGTCAAAAGGTTCAGAACAGCTGGTCTAGAGGTTTAGTAAATAGCAGGTAGATTTTATGTCAAATGGCATAGGTTAAAATGAAAAGCAAGATCATAATCAGCATTATTCATAACAAAAGATTGAATTTTATCACTGCTGTTGCTTGTCTAGAGAGAGACCTGCTGATTAGATCAAACCTGAAAGGACTGATGTAGGCACAGTTAGCATGTGTTGAAAGTTAGTCAGGCTCTGTTTGATGCAGTTAGTGTCATAGCTTTGCGTAGAGTTCCAGGGGTTGTAACCCAGTTCATATACTTTCAGGTTTCAATAAGCCATTAAAGCAACAGGGGTGATAAGTTGTTTTGTATTATTTGCTAAGTCTCAAGTCTACTAGTCTGTTTGCAAGTCTCAGAGGTGCATAGAATATGTTTATACTTGAATTTCTTACATTTTTACATTTTATCTTGTGATCACAGTGAGTATTAATGAAATGGCAATAACTCACTTTAATACGTAGAGATAATTTTTAAGGGTAAGCAGTTAATTATAAATAATTAAATTAGGTAAATAGTTAACCTTAGTCATTATGTATTTACATGGCCACTATTAATTTTTTTAACAGCATTTGTTAAAAAAGACCTATTAAAATCAAAATCTAATAAAAATTCAGTTTAAAATGAATGTAATTTACAACACTGATTCTTAAAGGATATTAGTATAATTACACATTGAAAGCTACAAAACATTTATGTTTTGTAACAACAACACTCAACAAAATATTATCCGTCGTTTTAATTTGAAGCCTTCCCAAACATTTTGGCTAGTTTATACAGATTCCCTTCTCTTTAAGCATCTTTTCTAACAATAATTAGAGATTTGTCTCAATATGCAAACCAATGCTCTTGCTAGTTTCTACATGCTTTATCTCCTAACTTGTCAACATCTCCACAATGTACCTTTATGAGGGTTTACTTTGATCCTGGTAAAAGTTAAATTAGTCCAAAACCCCCCAATAGACGTGAAGCAAATTATCACTATGTCTGAAAGTACCTACAATATCAGACAAAGGTTTAAAAAAGCCTCTTATTTAAAAAGAACTTGGAACAAACATAAAGGCATGTTCTGATGCTTCAATTACATCTCATGATGAAATAATTAAACAAGAATAGTCAAATTCAAACTAAAAATGTAGACTAGTGGTCAAAGATTACACAACTTAATTTTAATTTAATCTGGCTCAGTAATTCTATCGTATGAGGAAACAGAAATGGAAAATTATAGTAAAGGTTGAAATCATAAACAATTGGGTTATTTCTATAATAATAACTGCACATATCTTTGAAGAATCCTTTTCTTTATGTATTCAGTTTCTTTCTTCAATATGTTTAATTTCCATTT